GATGATAGCATAGCAAAAGTAGACGAGCCTTGCGTATCAGATGGTCCAACAGTTTCCAATTCTAGTACAATCACAACTTCTGAATTTTCAGAGAAGAAGATTTCATTTTCTGAGGACGGTAAACGGAAATCTGATTTATGCAATATGAATATGGTCCAAAGCATTATTGGACCTTCCAGAGTTGAGTTTCAGGAAAATGATGCGTGTTCTACTGGCTGCGTGGAAAATAAAGAAACATGTATGATGAATGAAAATCATGCGCTTGTTCTGCATGAGAAACCAGAGTTCAAGTTACCACATTCTGATGCTAACTCTAACCCTGGACTTTGTGCCGAAAAGGAAAGTGATGAGATTGACAGAAAACAACTTGATAGATTAGAGTTTTCAACTTCTGTAGCGAAAAAAGAAGCCGAATTATCAGTTGGTTCGAAGGAACATCTTGTTCCAAACTCAGTTCTTGAAGGGAGTGACTTGAAATCTCTGAAGCAGATTAATTTAGAACCAGTGTTATTGAACTTAAGTTTAAGCAAGGAAGGAAGTCTCGATCAGCGTCTCACTGTAAATGTTGGGTCTAGTTATGATGGTTCTATTCAGGAGTCAAATAGGGAAAATTGGGATCTAAATACCTCGATGGAGTTTTGGGAAGGCTGTTCAAGTGGCGATCCTCCCGAGCATGTTCCAGCAGTTCAGACAAACACGATTGTCACTACGCACAGATTCTCAACAGAAATGGTTAATACTGATACTCTGCCAGGAAAGCTAACTCCTTTAGATGACAGTGATCATCTTCATCTAAGTCTTAGTTCATCAGATCATAGGCATGTAATAAGTCAGGAACAAAGTTCATTTGTCAAGTTAGGCTTTAGGAAAACAAGTCCTTCTCTAAGCTCAACAGGAAGAGGTTTGCAGTTTGATGATCTTAACGGTGCACTAAAAGTCGTAAAGCCAGAGCCATTTGTTGAGGCTTCCAAACTCGAGTCTAAAAGTGATGGAGTTAATGTGCTGGGATTATCAGACAGTGCTATTGTGAAGCGCGAATTTCTTCAAATTCCCAATGTTTCAGATATTTATATACCAATGAACACAGTTAAGGCCAGGTCTGTTAACTCTGAATTAAATTACGAAAGCAAACAGGAAGCACTCAAAACATTAGGTGGTAGATTAGATTTGGTAGCTAAGCAAGTTCTTCCAGAGGTAGGTAGTTCTTGTCCTGCGCCGATGCCTTTTGTGGCAGAGATGACTGAAGCAGCTCGAAACTCTTGTTCAACTGATTTGATCACAGATGGAGACATGTCAAACCATCCAGAATTGCAAACTCCTACTAAAGAACATCTTAATTTGAACGTGCACGAAGGAGCATATCGTTTTGCTGGTGAACTCATCGATTCAGAAATGACTGATGTAAGTAAGGATCCAGGTTCCAAAGATTTCAATAGTCCTATTATAAAGCCTATAGCGATGCCTAGAAATCCTTCTCGTACAAATGATTCCATTATAGAGGCAAACATGTCGAGCCCTTCCGAATTACATATTCCAACTACAGGACCTCTTAATACGAAAGTGCACCAAGCAGGATATGGCTGTGACGGTGGACTTGTGAATTCGGTAATGACAGATGTAAGTAAGGATACATGTTCCAAAGATTCCAGTAGTTCTGTTATAAAACCAGTCATTGTTGAAGATGAAAATCAGAATAACCCGCTCTGGCGTCCTTCGACACACACGAATGAGCAGTGCTCTAGCTTGCAGGGAGGTGAGGAAAGTTCTGTAAATGATGAGGAAAAGATCAGTCTATCAGCGGATTTATTAGAAGAAGATCCATATAGTTCTGAATATGAATCAGATGGTAAGCTTGATGTAAATGAGGCCATGGATACAGTTGATAATGATGTAGAAGAAGATTACGAAGACGGAGAGGTTCGGGAACCGACATTGACGACTCAAGTAGAAAGCAGTATATGCGAGACGAAAAAAGTAAAAAATTTTGATCATGCTGATTCTAGCAATGGACTGCCTGGTTCTGATTGTTGTTCCTCCTTGGTTTCTGTTAAGCAGGAAAATAAATTAGAAATCCTCGATGTTAAACGAGAAGACAATCTTCATTCTGTAACTTCGAATCAATCGTCCGAGCAAGAACGATCGAAAGAGTTGCCTGTCGAAGAGCATACCACTAGAGTGTGTTTGAACAAGGCCAACAAGGCTAAAACATCTGCCATAGAGGACCAGGAAACTTCCCCTGAGAAAGCCACTAATGGAATTGAAGAATCAATTACGACAGTCTCTCAGAGCGACGCAGAGAAGGTTAAAACAGTAGACATGGTGCGGAACAACAATCCAGCTTTGCCAAATGTCGAGCCTTTAAATGATGACGATGTGACTGACGATATTACTCGTGGCAGTAAGCATAGCCGGATTGTTAGTCCCTGCAAACCTTCTACTTCTTCGCTTCCTAGTAAAACAAGATCGAGTTTGGCGAGGTCGGTTTTAACACAAACTGATAGAGAACGAATACCCGACATGGCGCATGAAGGGGAAAAATTACATCCACAAGGAAGGTGATTATCTATTTCTTAGCTGTGCATTAACTTGATTACATTCTGCATTGCTTTGCTGATTTCTTTCTATTTTCTAGAGATGAACCATATAGGGACGTTTTCCAGAGATTTTATGTGAATAGACATCAGAATCTATCACCCCAAACCAATTTTAGCCGTAGAAGAGGTAGATTCACTATCCGGATTAACTCTGTCCAAGGTGAATGGGATTTTAATCCAACAATCTCTCCAGGAAATTACAGTGATCATCAAGTACCACCACCACCCTATGATGCCCGTAGACGTAAATACATGCCTGCTGTTTCTGATGATGATATTGATCAAAACCATTATAAAATGAAACCCGATTGTCCATTTCGTAGCGCTGGTGATCATCGAGGTAGACAGATATTAGACGACGAAGGCCCCCTTTTTTGTCATATGGCCTCTAGGAGGAAGTCGCCTGGTCGAAGAGATGGGCCTCCTCCAGTGCGAGGTGTTAAAATGGTACACAGAATGCCTAGAAATATCAGTCCAAGTAGATGTAATCGTGAACGTGGATCGGAGCTGGTTGGACCGCGACACGGTGAAAAGTTCATGAGGACATTTGAAGACGAAGCCATGGATCCATTATACGCGCACCCTCAACCTTCGTTTGAAGTAGATCGGTCTCCTTTTATCCGAGACCGAAGGAACTTTCCTATCCAAAGAAAAAGTTTTCAAAGAGTTGATTCTAAATCTCCAGGAAGGTCCAGAGGACGCTCTCCTTCCCAATGGTTTCCATCCAAAAGAAAGTCTGAGAGGTTCTTTGGACATCCAGAAATGGCACGGCGAAGTCCTCCACCCGGTTATAGGATGAGATCGCCCGATCAACCTCCTCAAATCCATGGAGATATGCCAGTTCGAAGACATGGTTTCCCGTTTCCATCACTGCCACCTAACGATTTGAGGGATATGGGTTCTGCTCGCGACCATGGCCATATGAGACCAGGTATACGAAGTCGAAACCGAACCGAGAGAATGTCCTTTAGAAACAGGAGGTTTGAAGATATGGATCCTCGAGATAATAGGATAGAGAGTAACGAATACTTCGATGGACCTGTACATCCTGGTCAATTGAATGAACTGATTGATGATGGCAACGACGACGATCGAAGAAGGTTTTCGGACAGACACGAACATCTTCACCAATTCCGACCACAATGTAATGATTCAGACGGTGAAAACTATCGCAACGATGCAGACGAAAGAGCGAGACCTTACAGATACTGCACTGAGGATGAAGAAGAGTTCCATGAAAGAGGTAAGATGAGGGAGAGGGAATTTGATAGACGTGTAAAGAACCAACCAGAAAATTTAGGTAGACGTACAGTGATTGAAGAACATGAAGTAGAAGAATACAGACATGGACATGGTCGGCAGATGTGGAATGAACACCATCACCACCATCATCATCATGGCTTTGAAGACATTTCCCGAATGAAAAGAAAAAGAATTTGAAATTTCCTTTTCCATTCAGCTCAGAAGCCAGGTGAGATTCAGATGAAGCTGCGTTGTTCTTGTGCTTAGGAGGTGTTTGGATCCCTTATATATAGAAAAATGGCTGCTGCTCATTGGATGGATGGATTTATCCCATCATATCTTACTTATTAAATATTAAAAGAATTCATTCACTTAAAATATAATTCAATTCAATTTCCTAAGTAGTCCCTAGGTGATTCTAATACGTTCAAGAAGAGAATTTAACCGCAAACTTCAAAATCCATACCTCCTTCCAGGTACTCATGGAGCTTGATGATCAAATAAACAATAATGTAAGATTCTCTCAGGTTTCTTCATATATAATTCAAAAGCACTGGTTGAATCTTAAGTGCGGAAAAGAGAAAGAAATCTGGAAGATTCAAGAACAAGCAGATGAACAAAAGACTAAATTATTGAAGTTAACTTTTGATTTCATCTTGCGGCCAAACGCTAACCTTCTCCTTCTCGTATTTGATATACAGAGCAGCCGCCGCCGCTACGAAGTATACTTGAATTAGTATAATCGCTGGCGTGTGGTAATTGATGACGCCTTTTCCAGTGGCTAATTCCACTAGAACCAGTGCCGATAATCCGAGTATCGCAATCCATCCATTGATCCTCTCGCTGTACGGACTGAATCCGAATTCTACCTTAAGTCCGCCGGAAACCGCTTCCTTCAGCGGCACTGGCGGGAGATACACTGACGAGGCGGCGGCGGTGGTTGATCCTTTCCTGGACTTCCGAGCCTTACGAATCTCTGCCTTCTTTCCCGTTCCGCGTCGGAGTTGGAGTCGGGCCAGTCGGTCCTCGAAATCGTCGCCGTCCGATCTAGGTTCCGAATCGGCGGCAGGAGATTCCGGATCTGCTGCTCTGGTTACGAAGGTGAGAGACTTCGGCTTGTGAGGCTTGGAATTGAAAGCGAGTGCGAGGGAGTTTGGGAATTGCAGTGAGGAAGATGGAATTGCCGCCATGGAAGGAGAATGCCGAGCTCGAGGATAAACTCGCCCCTCTGCTGTAACCGTCTGGACCTTATATTTTTTAGTTTTCTTTTTATATTTTCTTTTTCCGCTCTTTAAAATTAGTGGTTTATTTTTTTCCTTCTCTTTTTGAATTAAATAATTTAGCGGTTTCTATTTGTTCCGTTTTTATATTTTTGTTTATACGGTAATGACTAGAAATGATAATTATTTAAAGTTTAGGGACTAAAAAAATAAATTTAAAAATATTAAGACAAATAAATATTTTAAAAGTATTCGTGTTAAGTTTTAGAAACCAAATTCGTGCGTTCGCTCTCCAGGTCAATGCCATCGTCGATTTGGATTTCTCGCGATTCTTCCTTGATTCCATTCTCACTCTCTCTCGGTATCACCAGCAAAACGAGCATGTCTTAGATCTGCGTTTCGGTATTGTTCGCATCTCTGCCTTTAGGATAGTAATCTCTTTGAATCGGTGAGTGTGTTTCTTTCGAGGCAGAGGGGAGTTTTGTGGAAGTTTGAGTCGTTGTTGAGGATCAGCTGTTCAAATACTGGAATGTTTTCTAGCAGTTCAATCGAATTCCTTATCAAGTGATTCTGGTGGTTTGATGATCGGTTAGATGTGGAATGTGTTTGCGTAAATGGAGGTTTATGCTTCTTTTATTTTGTTCCTTTTAATTTTATCGTCAATTTAGTCTAGTTCGTTAGGAATCTGGAATCCTTTGTTCTTTCACCGCTGGAGTTTGATATACGGTTCATTGTGCTGTGTCTCCCCTGATCCAATCTCAAGGCGTGGATCATCTAAACTTTTGTGGTTAAAATTTTAACACAGGAACCTCTCATATGCTGGATTTAAGATTTGGATGCTGGTTTTATGGTATTTTCACGATATAACAGTGCGCATCGCTAATTTCTTTAGTTTTCGCTTGAGATTCATTGATTATTTCGACACAATGCCTGTCATATGCTATCTCGCATACCGAATCTTTTTTAAGATCACTAATGTATTGATATCCATGCGGTGCAGAAATCGAAAGTGAATTCTAAGAAGTTAGTGAGATTTTGGTGCTGGATTGAAGTGATAAAAGATCAAGAAACTGTATTAAGCCGAGGTTTTGGAATAATGGCGGTACCAGAAAGTGAAGAGGTGCTAAACATTTTTCTTTGCTGTTCTCTGGATTTTGAAGCTCGTGCAAGTTTCTTCTTATATGGTTTTATAATTGTTGTCAGTAAATGTTCTATTGGCACTATGCAGGTTGGTTTTAAGCGCATTGGATTCTCAGTTAGTGATTCTGATGCAAATCTTCCTATCAAGAAAAGGAGATTTCCGACAGTGCATTTTTCTCCATCTCCATCTGAAGGTATATCTTCATTCCATCCAGATGGAAATTTATTGAAGATTGAGCGGCCATCTCCACCTAAAAAGGTATCTTCATTTAATCCCGATGAAAATTCGTTAGAGGTCGAACGGCCGAGTCTATCTGTGACAATAGTTTCAAGTTCTAGTGCAGACACATGTTATGGGTTGTCAAACAGGAACCAGGACTGTGCTTCTAATGAGAATAAACGAAAATCTGATACTCATTCATGCTATGTGGATATGGTCCAGAACGATATTGGGATGGAGTTGAGTTTCCGGGACCCGGTTTCGGGGGACATGAAGATAAGTCCTTGGTAACTGAAAAACACTCCGTTCATCGATCACCAGAGATCTACGGTGGGTTGAAGTTACCATCAACTGGCGTCGACTCGGATCCTCTTGGTAGTAACAAAGAGGAAGAAATTGATGTAAAAATGCCTGAAGAAAAGTGCGGCTCTTCAATTTGTCAAGTTGAAGGAGGAGCTGAAGCATCAGAGAAATTGGTTTCTTACCAGAGTGACCTGAATACGTAGGGTCTGATTGTGATGTTTCTCTTTTGCAATCAAGCAGGGAAAAATGGGATCTAAATACCTCAATGGATTCATAGGCCCTTTTAGGTTGTGAACATAAAGGCAACTCTATTAAAGCATTCATACCATCAAAAGAGCATCTTCATTTAAGAATCAATTCATCTTCTCCAAAGCCTACACTTGAAGAAGATCCTTATGTTTCTGAATATGAATCAGATGGTAACTGGAATATTGCCGAGGTTGAAGACGACGATGATGATAATAACATAGAAGAAGACTACGAAGATGGGGAGGTTCGGGAATCGATGCGAAAAGAGGTCCATGCTTGTGAGAAAAGAGAAATTGAGCCATTGGATCATGCTGATTGTGATGATAAGAAGATCAATTCTGCTGGATTGCCTGGTCATGAATGTTTCACATTAGGTCCTCTGGAACAGGAAACGAAACCCGAAAATAAGACTTTAAGAGTGAAGACAATGTTCATACTACAACTAAAAGTACATCTTGTGAGCAAGAACATGAAGATCTTTGTGTGAAAGAACTACATGCCGTAGAGAATACTATTGGTGAGGATGTAAACAGGCCTATGAAGGCTGCAGGAAGAAGCCAATTATCTCAATATGTTAATAAGGATCTTCTCCATTCTAAGCAAATCCACTTGATGATGTTCCGGGAAAGAAGGAACTTCTCATTCCAAAGAATTGATTCTAAGTCTCTAGTAAGATCCCGATCTCGCTCTCCGAGCCAATGTCTCTTTGAAAGATCTGATAGGTTTTATGGATGTCCCGACATGACACGTCGAAGATCTCCAAATTATAGGACAGACGGGACGAGATCGCCCGATCAGCATCCTATATGTGCGCATATGACAGGCCAAAGACAAGGATTCTGTTTCCTTTCACCATTTGATGATTTGAGGAATCAAACTGAAAGATTACCTCTTAGAAACAGAAGTTATGATGCTATAGATCATCAAGTAAGGATAGAGAGCAATGAGCTTTTTGATGATCCCGTACGCTCGGGTCAACTGAGCGAGTACAGTGGTGGCGAACCCGATGACAATAAAAGAAGATAAACAGACACAAAATTTAGTTTTATGTATAATCAAACCATAAACTTGTAATTTTGTGTTTAATTAGTTTGTTAATTTTTTAAAAAGATTGAGTATGTTAACGATCTATTTAACATAAAAATTGAAAGTTCGAGAACCTATTAGAGAAAAAATTAAAAGTTTGTGGGCTTTCCTATGGTAGTTCCGTTGTGGCCTTTGACTGCCCATCTCGACAAATTGAGACTTTCTCTATTGGGAGTTATCAAAGGAGAATGGGCATATGCATCGCTTTCGGGATTCGAAAGAATACACTTCTCCCTTCTTCATTGATATGGAGGAAAAGAAACTCTCTACTGCCGAGAAGCTAGACATTAGGTAAGTGGTTTAATGAGGATAACTAAGTTGACATGTCGAGGCGCTTATCAAAAAAATACTTCAAAGGCTTCGAGATCGAGGTATCATTAGTCGAAGAAGACCCACCCCATCCATATGGCCTACTTGACAAAGGTCAAGTGGGTTTGCTTAGAAAGTAGAATGGAGTATCGACCCCAGAGAGGAACGAACAGCTTGAGCATTAGAAGTCGTGATCATAAATTGATAATTTACTATTTTAAATATTTGTAAAATTTATTTAAAATATTTATGGGCAATTTAATTAGTACAATCAAACAACGGCAATGCTATCCATCATTGAAGAATGTGAAAGGATTTGATTGATTATTAATTATTTATACAACTGTTTTTTTTTTTTTTCCTTTTTAATAACAAAATTAAACAACTGTACAAGATCCCAAGCGGCCGTCTTAAATTGTTTTAAAATATTTGTATTAATTTTCTATTTTTCATTTAATGTTGTGGTTATAATTACATGGCCTGTGGATGTCCTATCTTTTTGGTTGTAAATTGATTTTCTTTTTATAAAAAGGAGTTTATTTATTTATTTATTTTTATAATAAACATATTATATTATTAAATTTGATGTCATAACTTAATAATAAACTTCAGAGTCAATTTGTTAATACTTTTTAATAAATAAGCTGTTTTCAATACATTAAATTATTCTAGTGAAAGTTTTAAAAATTAATTATTGAAGGTATTAATCATTTAGATAATAAAATCATGTAATTATTAATTATTGATTTTAATATTTAATTAATTTATTACGACCTAAAATATATATATAATTTTTTTTATTATATATGTAATTTCAAGTATTTTTCACACCATGATTGTCGTAACTCTTACCATAATTAAGAATGTTGTAACTTTCCATAAAAAAAATCGAACTAAGAGAGCGATCCTCTCGATGAGCTGACCATACTTGAAACCGACAAAGGTGAATAATAAGTAGAGAATATTAGGGCATAGTCAAACGATCTTGACAAAATGAACCCATAACTTTAAAATCTAGCTTGAATCCGTCACTTGACATGGAGGAGCCCATTTAGATCGAGTCATGAGAAAAATTCACTTCACCCCGTCGCCAGATATATACATATTTTTCTTCATTTTTCTCATAAAACTCATAAATTTTATTTAAATATGAAATGATATTTAAATCTAAATCTCATGCAACTAAAACATAATAATTAAAAATTTTATTAAAATATTATTTTTAGCACTTTTGAAGTTATATATATATATTAATAAATATTTTATTTTCACGTTAGCTTTCCACTAATAATTAATGAAGAAAATAAAATATTAGGAATAAAAATGTAATTATTTCTAAAATAAATGAGAGGCTACAGTGTAATCGAAAGCAGAGGATTATTCCCACATAAACGCCCGCGCCTGGTGCGTGCTATATATATCAACAATCAATGAGCGTAACTGAAACTTTTGAATCATTCTGATTTGACGTAATTACCCTTCCCATTTTCAAATCCCCAGAAAGGAACCATTTCCTTTTATTCGTTCTTCCCATTTTCCCTCGCTCCTCCTTCAACTCCGCTGCTTTTCTCTCTTTTTTACTTCCACTATCGCCGTCGCCGGCAACTTTTCGGCTTGAACTATTTTTCTCGCCAGCGCTTTTTAATCCTTTCTCCTTCGAATTAGGAATTTATTGCTCTGCGGAATCTTACTGTTCTTCCCTTGGTAAGTCGCTGACTCTTGTTCTTGTTTTGAAATTGTCGACTAATCATGTAGTATTTCGCGTTAGCTTACTGTTGATTGTTGATTTTGATTATTTGGTGAGGAGTAGTGGTGCGGATTGATTGATAATATGGATGTTGGTACTTTATTTTCAGTTTGAGGAGAAGGAAGGAATCGGAGTTGGAATTTTGTGCGTCTGTTCATATTTTGAGTATAAAACTTCGCTTCGTCTGAAGGCTGGTTGTTTTTGCTTTTGAACGAGCTTTTAGGCCATTAGCTTTTTTCTTTTCTCTGTAATTTTCACAATCGGAGGGCGTGAAAATTAACAGGTTAATGGTTAGCGCCGATTATATGAAATTTCCGAGTTTCCTCGTTTGTAATTCATTTTTCCTTTTATTCTTGCAAATTCTTGTTCGTAGCTTGATTATGGTTGCCTAATTCATTGTATTCTTTTGGATTTTCAGTCAATACATTATTACATAAGAACATTACTTTCAGAATGTGGATTTCTGGAATTTTTTCAGCTTATTTTTTAACTTGTTATTAGGTTTTCTATGAATGTGGATTTCTGGATTTCTGGCATTTTTTCAGATTATATGACATTTCTGCGTATGATGAATGCTTTGCTTCCATGGTTCTTTGTTCCCGTTAAAAGTGAATCCTTTTACCATTTGTGGAAAGCTTAGTAGCGAAGAGCAGGGATCAAGTATCCATAGACTTCACCGGTTATAGTAAATCAGGTGTAGAGTTCACACAATGAAGAAGTTGTTCTTTTTCAGAACTTCAGCACCTAGCCACGGCAGTACTGATGCTTCTCCATCAAAAACAGAAAAACAAGATTTCACAGATAATCCATTTGAAGGTGGGTTGGACAATGTTGCAGGTAGCTAGAAGAGCTTCACTTCCAAATTATGATAGAACAAACCTGATATTGATGAACTGAATGAATGCAGGTACTGGTCTTAGAAGAAGTCGCTCGCTGTCTTCAGCATCATTGCTTGATGGTGGGAAGCATAAAAGTTCTTCTGGTTCAAAGAATAAAAATAGATCTCTGTATGGTAACTTCATTGGTTCTTCAGATCAGCAATGTGAACATTCAAACCGGTAAGGCTTAAACCAGTCATTATTTTAAGAACAAGACGAGAATTTGTTGCCATTCAAGTTAATCCTTCTTGATCGAATGTTCAATGCTTAAAACTGATTTATCTGGCCCATGGTATTGCTAGCTGTCAAACCCCACCATTAAGAAGACAGTGTAGGGCAAAGAAATTGGAGATGCTATATAATGATTATGGAGGTGTACCAGGGAGGTCTTGTTCTGCATCTGCTGCTTCATGCCGAAGTTATTGTGATTCTTCAGGAAATTCTTCCACTTCCTCTAGTAACGTCTCAAGTAAAATCTTGGACCGATATATTGATGATGGTGAGCAACAGGCAGAATCAAGCAAGCCCCAAAAGAGTATTCCTTCAAGAAATCACCCTAGAAATGGTAGTAGGAGGCGCCCCCCACAAGGTCGATGTACGGCACCCACTTCGCCAAAATATGTTATCGATGAGAAGACAACAAGTCAGCCATTTGAAGAATTTCCAAGATCGAATTATCATTTATTTCCTTCGAAGTATGCCGAAAATGGATTGGGGAACGAATCTCCAAGAACCATAGCGAAGAATGTAATTGAGAGACTCTCTCAATCTCATGGGATTCCTACAACAAATCCAATCACTGTCGGAGATATACACGATAGATCCTCTAATGAACGTTATGGTTCTAATGCGAATGTGATTCCCCAGAAAGTCTATTCGGTAAATGAACCGTTTGAAGCCATTAATAGAAATAATGTGGAGGGCTCTGGTGTAGATAGACAAAACTTAAGAAATCATAGTGAAGTGTTAAACCTTGTTGAAACTGAAGAGGATATGGATGTGGAACTCAAGAGGAGAATCAAGGTGGCAAAGGAGAGAGTCATGCTTTTCGGAGAAGAACGCGACCGGGAAAGCTATCTTCAACAGAGGACAGGAGTTTCAGGTTTGATTCAGACAATCAGACACATTAATGAGGAGAAAATGAGCTTAGCACTTGAGATTTTAAGTCTTCTACAGTCCCAAATTACTGAAAGGGCTTCTGCAAAAGAAGAGCTGAGACTGGCAAAGGAAATATTGGATTCTCAAACTAAGAAACTGGACAGAGAAAAGATTGAATTGCAAACAGAACTGGAGAAAGAGCTTGATAGAAGGTCCAGCGACTGGTCATTAAAGCTAGAAAAGTACCAATTGGAAGAACAAAGGCTACGTCAAAGAGTTCGGGAGCTAGCCGAGCAGAATGTATCTCTACAAAGGGAAGTTTCTCTCATTAATGAGAGGGACACAGAGAATAAATGCATAATATCAAATTCAGAGCAGAAGGCTAAGGACCTGACTGTAATGGTAGATAAATTACGGGACGAAAACCAAGTTTTGACTCGGAATCTCTCCAACTTGCAGGATAAGTACAAAACTGCTAAAGAAGATAGAGAATCCTTTAAGAGAAATTTTGAGGAAAAGGATAAGGAATGCAAGGAGTTGTATAAAACGACAACGAGGCTAACGAGGACCTGCTGTGACCAGCAGAAAACAATCAATGGATTGCAGGAACGGTTTACTTGCGAATTAGGGAAGAACACAGAAATCGAAAGGTTCGACAAGCATGTGGCGAAATTGCAGATGGAACAGATAAGGTTAACTGAAGTGGAATTAGGATTGAGAAGGGAATTAGAATCTTGCAGGTTCGAAATCGATTCCCTTCGGCACGAGAATATAAACATATTCAACCGCTTAAAGCACAATGGGAAAGACAATGGTGCTTTAACCATCAAGCTTGATGAGGAAATGTTAGCACGTGTTGATTGTCTACAACGTCAAGGGCTAACATTGTTGAATG